TGCTTCAGTTACATTTACAGCAATAAGACAACTTGCTTTTAAGTCACTGTACTCCCAAATGGTGCAGGCTTGAGTTTTTCAGTTTTGATTTGTACCAAGTATAGTAAAAGAAAGGAAGATTTTCACCTAAATTTGAAGTGAATTTTCTTGTGTCTATAGATGAAAAAACCACACCCCTGTATGTAGATTCTAAGGTTAATAACACTATAGGAAAACTATATTTTATACAGGGCCAAGCAGCCCTAGAGGAAGAAGTTAAATATTGATAATGTGGACCATGGTTCTTACTGTTCTCCTGTCAGACTGGTTTGGTGGAAGGAGCAGTGGTAGGAGGATGCCTTTTGGATGTGGTACACTTTAAGATATACCTTGTTGAAAATACAAACCAATTTCTCCTCTTCAAAAATCAGATATGCTGTTCTGGCAAAACAATTCATACTTTTGTCCTTTAAAAGGCTGAAAAAATACATTCAAGCAACCAAATATTGATTCATTTACCTATTGATTTGTGAAAGTGGGATGATAATGGAATGCAACGTCACCTCTGACCCTCGGTATGTAAAAGTTTAATGGGAAGCTCTCTGGAAACTGCCAGTTCAGCTTGTGGTGACATCCAAGGCCATGTGCTTTTGGGAGTGAGGGCAGTTTGCTCCTGTGCACAGTGGTCTCCAAATTGGTGCCAGCTGCTGAGTTTATTAAATCAGGGTCTCCAAGGATGGCTGTGGAGGCAGGGCCAGAGGTGAGGCTGTGCACAGCAGCTCAGACGGAGTCGGCTACCCTTGTATAAGAAATCTTCCAGGCAAATTTCCAGGGTCATTTCCTGGAATATTTTACTGCAGCACAGTCGGCCAGGGGATCTGTTTATTGGGAGCAATGGCACCTGATTTGTGTTTGTATGAAAGACAACTATTGATGGTTTAAATCTGCTGGGCAGAGGAGCATCCTTGGGGTTGCTAATCTGATCTGTGTGTGCCTTACACTTAATCTGGCACAGCCCACACAGTAACATGAACAGCAAATAAAACCACCTCCCAGCAGCACACCTGAGACTCACAGTTCAGGTGTAAGTGCTGTGTCACTCAAAATACAGCTGCAGCTAGAGCATGGCCACCATTTTATGCAACAGCAAATTAGGAGGAGTATATAATATTTTCACTTCTCTCTGCACCCTGTGGGAAGACAAACAGTCAACCCCAGCAAAGCTTATGTCCCATCACTGTCGAGAGCAACACAGCACAGATAAAGGGTGCTGGGATGCACAGGTTTGTTTCTGCAGCATCCAACTCCCTGGCCCCAGCCATGAAATCCAAAGCCAGCCAGACACCCAAGTTCCCTGTGTAATGTAACATACCAGGAAAAGCAACCTGATGAGCAGGGAGATGCCCAGAGCCAGCTAACAGGAAAGGCTAAGCACTGAGGGAGAAGGAAAGGATCCAAAAATCTCACCTCCAGCCAGCTGGAGAACATTTCTGCTACAGGGAAACAGGCTCCATCACTTTGTGATGAGAAAACGGGGCCTGGGGAGTGTTGCATCAGAGGATGAGTCCACTCTCACTCCATTGAAAACCATGAGCAACAGCCACATTTCACAAGCCAAGCAGCTGAAACTCATCCCAAATGTCTCTAGGGTGGATGCAGTGGGATCAAGTTCTGTACCCATCAGAAAAAGAAATAATGACAATAAATGGCCATTTTGTCTGGCTTGACAGCTCCCACATTGCTTCAGATGACTCAGCAGCACTTTTCTACAGCAACTTCATCTTCCTAACTTTCTTCGGTAATCTTTCAATAATAACTACATAAATATCCTGCATTTACACTAAAACATTTACGCTGTAACATAAATAGGTGAAACCTCAAACTATTACATTGATATTTCAAGCCTTTTTTTTTTCTCCACAGTTATTTCAGAGAGTTGCTCCCAGACTCAATTTTCCTTATGGAGCAGACAGCATTTAAGGTCGACATAAAAGTCTCTTCTCTAGTCAGGCAAAGTACAATGAAGAAATAATTGCAAAGCTGCTACTAAAAAGGAGAATTTGGGATATTTCTTAATACTGCTCAAAGTTGCAAGGTGCTACTTGTACTAAATAACTTTTGTTAAAGGAGAACTATCAGCACTGCAAGTAAGAGAGTGATGGTTACTCTAAAAGGCAGTTAAGAGTCCTAGACAATAAACATTTAAATGAGTGAATGCAGACAAAAAAAGAGGATGCAAACAAAACTAAGGAAATATTGCTTTTGAACCTTCTAAAATGGCATTATACCCAGTGTGCCTCTTTTAAGAATCACTTGGAAATAACTATATTGATAACTTCCATGTGTGGATAACAATATTTCGTAATTTAAACAGATACAGAAATAACTCTCTGAACACCAGGACACACTGAAATGCTTCGTCTCTTTTTCTCTTTGAAGATACCACATCCAAGCCTTAGTTTTCATTTTAAGGAGCTGCTGTACCAACTTAGCAATTATGTCATATATTAAAAGCAGATGCTTGTGAGAGGCAAGAACCCCCTTGAAAAAAAAACAATGACAGCAACCTATGCCCAGCCCCAATTTGGTAGACATTTTTGTTGTTACTGTCAGGGCTGTAAGTCCAACAAGTACTGTAAAGTGCTTCAAGCTTTTGAAGGATTTAGGGAACAGACCAAGGCTTCATTTAGCAGCTTTACAGATGCCAGATTTTTACCAGATACCTTTAGGCACATAAGGATGGAGTTAGACAAACGGGCCCACAAGCTTACAGAGATCTCTTGGGCCTTCCTGCCATCCTCCCTCCAGGGGGCTGCAGGTGCAAGACACAAATTCTAGGATCTGGCTGGATGCCCAACCTACCCCCCGCCTGCCTCCCAGCACGCCCTGGGGGTTTCCCCTCTCTGGGGGCAGTGCTGGAGATGCAGTATCCTACAGATTCATTCATGGAACAAGAGAATTCATTTTAAGCTCATCGTCCTGATACCTTTCAGCTAACTTCTGGATAAATAAAGATCTCCACTTCCAGATCAGTGCAAAACACACCAAAACGAAGATTTCACAGCTACTAACAGGAGGAGGAACACGCTCACTGCACACAGTGCCAGCAGTCAGTGCTCCACCCCTGCCCTGGGAATCTGGAAATGCTTCAGTGTCAGAACTGGAAGCCACAGAATAAAACCCCTGATGTTTAGCTCATTAGAAAATATAAAAATACACAGAGGACCAGCTAATGCCATAAAGAAAAATAAGCCTGAGTTGTTTTTAAGATAAATTCATACAGCAAATTCAAATTTGCCTTCAAGAGAAAATAACTCCTACTCCGAGAATCTTATTAGAAAGAAAACAGCATGAGGGAATTCTTCACTGATTGTTTAGGTTTTCCCATTTGTTTTTCACTAATGCAAGGATCACAAATAACAAAATAATAACAACAGTTATTACAATAGCTAGGAACACAAGGAAGGAATAAATCTGGAGCAGACAGCTTTTAGCAGTTCCTTGTATGAAGTCTCTTAAGGAGGTCTAGAAACAATCCAGACCTTCCAGTTCACTTGCTTGTCTCTGCTCCCCTGCTTCTGGCCACACGTACTGCTTGTTTCCTCAGTAGTTCCCCATAGTCAACTGCCATAAAAGTTTACCAGCTTGCCCAAGATGATGTCATTTTGAGCAGAGCTGGACACGAATGCAATTCATGTCCTTACCAGAAGCCTTCTGAGCACACTAAGTACTGACACATGTTTTTAACAAACTGTAACAAAGCAATACCAAACTCTTTGTCACTCATTTTGAACAGCATGGCTGGTGGATAGGCAGGGGAAGTAATTTCAAAATTTCACTTCAGAGACCACAGCCTGCAAGCTGCATGGCACAAAGGCAAGGAAGGGCGAGAGTAAAGGTGAGGGCACAGCAACTGTAGGAGAAGGTGGGGCAAGGAAAGTGGAGAGCCTCCACTAAGGAAAAAGCTCATGAGGTAACCAAGAAGTAACCTGAAACAGGGATAGTACCACATTATCATTAAATCCTCTTCCCTGCCTTGACAAACACGCTCATTCTCTTCTCTGTATCAGAAATTTGAAGTTTGTACACGTACACCTTTGAAAAAACGGCCCCACACGATGTTTACAATGCATTTGATAGGACAACCACTTTATTACAAAGAACAAACAATGCTTTGAAATAAGACTAATCAACTTCAATTGTACAAAATGTCAGTTTCCTTGTAGAGGTCATTAAGTAACAGGCTGTAAGACTAAGTTCACGTCAAATTCGCTATCCTGAAATATCAGATAACAACAGTAATACTTATTATATCTTCAGAGTTTATGGCATGATCATGTGCTCTACTCCAGACTACATTCAAAAGATATTGCTATAATTACTTTGAAAACACAAAGTATAGGTTATTGTTCATTTCATTTCCACTTTCACAAGAACATTCTTAAGGTGAAGCTGTAGCAGTGTCTGCCATAAGTGGCACGACTGTCCTATACTTACACAGTCACAACCTCCCTAAGGAGTTTAGTAAACCTAGACATTTCTACAATATGGATACTGTCATCTGATAGATTTCAGTTTCTGTTACATCTCCTTTAGCGGTATCTGAAATAAATGTATAACACGAAGTCTCAAAGAGCTGGTGTCAACAGTCTTCTAAACAAATTTAAAATTGAACAATCAATATTTGTCTGATATCTAGTTGATAGGCAAACAGGTGGGATTTAGACATTATAAATACAGTTCTAAAAACAGACCACAAAGTGTATTTTACAGTGTGTACCACAATTTCAGGTTAAAGTAAAACTGTGAGGAACCGAAGGTTTGCTTATGGTCACTATTCACCATCACCCAACTTGGACAAAAAGAGAAAGTGACATCTTATGTCAAGTCAGCTGAAGAAAGCACACTTACAAGGAAATTACACTTTCATTGAAAACGCCACAGTTTTACCCTTTGGTAGTTGTGACATACCCACTGAAAAAGAAATTGTGCAAAGCAGGTGAAACCAAGTGCAAAAATACTCCACCCAGACATACCCAACAGGTTTTATTCTTAAATAACGACTCTACAATCACAGCTATCAACCAACAAAATCAAAGCCACAAATGTTTTCTCTAAAGGCTTCTTTCACAGTACTAATAAGAAAAACCAAGTTCTACTCTTCTAGTTAACAGTTCGTGTGTATGATATTTTAGTTATCAGACAGTATTGGTAGTGAGATCATACCTGACAAAATGGACCATTAAAACACAAATATCTTAAAGCCAGTTAACTTCAGGAAAAGTCCTATACATTCATACTATAAACACTGTTTAAAGTGAATCTGGGATATCTGTTATTATCACAAACACACGGTTTTCCTCTGGAGTCAAACCACACGTATTACTCCTGTGCCACAATCAACACTATCAGAGTGATTTATGGTCCCCAGCACTTCTCATATGCTATTGTGGCATGTGATGCGTTGCGATAATTAAGGCTGTACCAGCACTTTCGTTATAACCCTGATTTTCAGGGTAGCCAAAACTTGGCTATTAAATCTGCTCTGGGATACTTGAGCTGTTAAATCTCTAATATTTTAGTGATACTTCTCCCACCAAACCAGGCACATAATTTATTTTAGTTTATATATTTACAAACGCTCTTAAGACAAATTTAACTGGAAGAGGCAAGAAGTTCTACCTTGATGTATAAGTCTTTTGGCATTTGGGGCAAAATTAAAGTGCAAAGTATAAACTTCATTGCACAGTAAATAATTTAGATTTTATTTTAAAATAAATCTTATTTAAGTGCCTCAATCTATTCACCTAGTGACCTTGTCCAACTCAGCCATTTTCCTCTACACTTTGGTAAACACAGGTTTACATATAGATATATAAATAGCATTTAAAATGTTTACCTTTATTTCACTACTGTGAACAAATTTTTTCTTTTAGCATAGGAATGGATCAACCTATTCCTAGAAGTAATGCTTGTTGATTTTATCAGCTAGCTAGTTAATGTAAAATGATGCATAGTAAAAGGGAGATACTGAACTTGATTGGTAGAATATATTGGTAAAGCAAACAAGCACTTAAGAAGATTAACTGGAATAAATATGTTGAAAGTTGCCATATAATATGTGCAAAATTGCTTACCATGTATTCTAAACTTTGGTTAAAATTTTCAGATTGAAGTTTTACAGAAACATTATGGAAGCAACACAAGTGATTACAAACACAGGAATGAGGTAAGTTATTATTAGTGCAAAAAGCAAGCATATGCTAAAAGCAAAGCATATGGATTTATTAAAAAAAAAAAAAAAAAAAAGAGAATGAATCTCATGGAAGTTTTCATACAAGACCAGAAAGGTCTCTTGTAAACATTGGTATTTACAAGTTCAAGATTTGTACAACTACAAAAGGATAATTCTAAATATTAGTAGTGCATTTACATTGAATTTATGTTTTTTGTAATAAGAGCAATGGATAAGTTTCTCTTTTTCCTTTTAAATTTTCGGGGGATATCTTTCAAGATTAAGATATTTGTTACAAATAGTAGAAAAAATCATTTCTTTACAAAAAAAGTATATATTAAAATATTTATACATTTTAAGTTACTATATAATAACTGGAAATTTTTGCCTTGTACTCAGACACCACAACGAAGAATGTGGTATAAGGAACCAAAACCAAACAGAATTTGCTCTTATACCAAATCTTACGAATTACCTGTGCAAGATCCGAAGCAATAATGGGGACTCTACCTCAAATACTGCTGCTTGTGCCAAATTTGTTCTTTGTTTTTAATTTGAAAGCGTGTATTTTTTACATTTTAACTATCACTACCAAAAAGAGCTACTGGATAGGGTGTGATCCTTCACCCCACCATCTTCAGTATAGTTTCTATACGGTACTCATATACCTGAGCAAGGCTGTGTAACGCTGATGTGTCAAACGTAAAAAAGGTTATATATTTTTAAGATAAAAACAATGCAAAAATAAAATATTTGTAGCATTTACAAATAGTACAAGAGTTACATTAAACACTACATTCGAAACTGGAGATCTATTATGTTGTTTCTACTGATGGCTTTGAGAGTAGCAACACTACTTTGAGCCTGATGTTTTCATATCTGAAAAAAGGAGGAGACATTGTTAAATGCTTCATAATTTCACGTGGTGTACATGGTCAAACACTTTCAAACAACTGCTGTTTCAGAGTTCTGGGGTACAGATCATGGTCAAACTCCTTGCCAGTTAAAGGGTTAAAACAGCACTGGAATACTAAACATTTTGGAAGACAGCAAAAGTTCTTGTTTAGAGCCTCTGGAGTGGCTGACTTGTAAGGTGAGCCAGAACTGATCAGGCTAAAACTAATCTTTATTTTCAGTGAATCCACTCCCATCCCCAGGTCATCATGAACCTGTACAAATTCAAGCGCAGGGACAAGATGACAAAACCTCTTCTGGCTGTAATACAGACTTTAAAGTGTATAAGCATCACAAAATTGCACCTTACATCATCTAATGAAAATTTTTTCTAATAAGGAGGGTGAAAACACTGAAAAACACCCCCTGATTACACACATGCACGTAAATGGATTGTTTATTAGACTGAAAAAATTTTTGAGCTGAAGTGAAGCCCAGGGAAGTCAGAAGCTTCCTAGGCTGTTATAGTTTTAGGGAGCAGGTTAAGACTCAATGACCAACAAACTTGCTTGGTTTTGCTTGTGAACAAATCTAATTCTTTTTTTTTTTTTTTTTTTTAAAAACGCAAAGACAACTTCAACAACTATATTTGCATAAAGCTCCTGTAAGGAACAAAAGAACATTTCAAGACTTTACCTTGGAGCCACCGGACTTGCGTGGCCGGTCCGTACCCTCTCTCGTTCTTTGCGGAAATCCTGAACACTATGGCAGGTCGGGAAGTGTAGTCAACGTGAGCATTGGAAAGCTGGGCAGCAGTCACTATGCAGGATGTTTTAAGACCACAGTATATTCTCATAAATACAAGTTGACTTGGATTTTCCTGTAACTGCGTGGAACGGATTGCTAAGTAGGCAGAATATTCTAAAATATTTCCAGAGGGTGAAGCAGGAGGCTCCCAAGAAAGATGAATACAGTCTACACTCTGAAGGAAAAGAGAGAAAAACGTGATAGTATGTAGCTAACCATAAATATATAAACAATATAAAAATAAACCCCCCCAAATTCTAAAGATTATCTGAGAATTCTAACCGAAACATCATCACTCTGGAGATAAGGATGTATCTCTTGACTTTTTTTTTTAAAAAAGCATGGTAAACCCCTACAGATTTAAGGATGAATGAACAGAAAATCACAGGTAAACCATCAGATGACTGAATAAGACATGTATCTGGTAACATAATCAGTAAGTCTTAAAATTATTATTTTTAGCAATTTTCTTAAAGAATATTACACTGAGCAGAGTTAAGTAAGTATTTGAAACTATTTTATATGACAATTTTAACTTAAAAATAACCCCAACAACAAACCAACTAAACCCAAGAGTTCTGAGATTAAACTGATATATAAAGAATTTTATACATCGGAACTAGAATTACTTATATTTCTCACCTTGGTGATTTTGACTGTTGAAGGAGCTCCAGGAAAACCCGGAATGCAAGTTTTGAATTCACTGATTTTACTGAAAGGCCCAACACCACAGCCATTAATTGCAGCAACTCTGAACCTGTACACTGTGCCTGGAAAAAGATCCTGTTTCTTCAGTAATCTGTAGTCTGGTACATCTGCACCTTCCGTCTGAAAAGAAAGCAACATTTGAGTTAATTTTTAAAATATTCTAAACACAATTAGCCTAAAAAAAGTAAGGTGGGTAGTAATAAATTAAGTTTAATCGAAACTGAAAATCTACCTAATACTTTTGTACTTAAATGAGAATTTACGAAAAGGTTCTGACTGAGGGCACTATCTCACCTCAAAACAGGTGATCTAAGATGCAATGTGAGAGACTATATCTCCAAACCAAAAAAATACCCCATTTTTTCAATCATTTAAATTAAACTGCACCTTGTGGTTATTTTTACTCGGGAAAGTAAAAGCAAAGTAGCATTCACAATTACATAACTTATGATTCAGTTAGCATAATCTTCTGTCCTAAATAATATTTTTATTTCAAAACCAGTTATTCCTGTAGTTAGGAGCTGCAAATTGATGTGGAGGTAATCAAAATGTTTTTAAAGAAAAGCTCTGTAAGATAGTAACAAATAGGTTTCTGAAACATTATGTGCCACTGTACTTCCATGATTAAAATATGCATTGATCCATCACTAAAACTTACAATGGAACTACTTGCCTTCTGAATAATGTACAAGAGATACAACCAATGTAAACACTGTAAAATGTACTGTGCTCTTTAAAGATATACAATATTTGTACTGAAGTGCTTTCAAAGAGAGGGTTCTGTTATTTTGCTTCTGTCTCACGAAAACAAAATACGATTTTTGTTTCAAGTTCACTAAGACATCATTAATTTACACTTTTGTCATCAAACCTGCAACACCTTTGCAAGTTTCACATGTATTTTCATATATCAACTTACATGTACAAAAACATTAAGATAGAAAGATGTAATACAAAACCCACTACAGTTCCAGATCTAGTCTTTTTAAACAGCCTAGCCTATGTCTTATTAGTATCTTTAAGAATTTTTAGGCAACAATTCTGGGAGCAGAGAAGAAACTTTGAAACATTTCAATGCTGTACCAAAGTGACATATTAAAAAAGTTGTGGGTTTTTTAGTTTTTAAGAATTTTTACAGGTTTGAAAGTTTATTGAGTTTAAAATTCTTTCTTAAGGTTAGAAATAAGAAAAGAATTAACAATAGCAACAGATCCCAAAATACTTTACGTGCAAGTTATGTCAGAGGAGAATCAGCAAGTACCTTGTTAGAAATGTTCAGTGTTTCCTCTGGCAGCAAGTAGAACTGGCTCACCACAGCACTGTTGTTCTTAAAAATTCCAACATCATACCATCGCCGGTCTCTTGCTTTCACTGGTGCCATCGGTCTTTGTGGAGTTTTCTAGTATTTGAAGAACATGTTATGTGGATTACCCAGACTTCAGAGTAATGTAAAAAAGTGTTAAGACTCTAGTATATGTGAGAGACAACCCCCTTTTATACCAGTGTTACTTTCTTATACTTCAAATGGATATGCATATACTATTAAAACAGTGTTCAAAACCAACTGGTTCTTAAACATAGACACAGTCTGTTATTTAAAAGGCAACAGCTGGGATGTCACATCTGATATTCTAAACAGGCAGGGGAAGAAGTTTAAAGCTGTAGAACTAGGTGTCTGTAGCAGCATGTAGTTGCGAGTTAATTTGGCTCAGAGGTCAAGAAGTTCCACAGAGTGGTCCAACACCAGCAGCTCTCCCTGGGAATCAGCTGTATCTCAGCCCCAAACATGCTCTCCCTCAGCCACTGCTGAACTCGCCGGCAGCTGAGAACAGGCCTCTGCTGCGGCGTGGGGCGATGGTGGTGGAGGGTGTGTGAACTGTTCCTGACTGACCCAGAAAGACAAACTGTCTTTCCTGCTTGTCTCCAGACACCAGGGAGAGCACTTGCACAGTCAGTGTGCCCAGCACAGACAGGCCACGATCCTGCTGGCACGGAAACGGGGCAGGAACTGCAGCTGCTCTTGGCAAAAGCACCCCAACCCTTTAGGTAGCAGCTGCTTCTCCCCATCCTTAGTTCCTCGCTTTTGGTGGCAACAGTGGCACCTTGGTTTTGTGTATTAAGTTGTAAGCAGGTGAAATAGGAAGCATTTACTTTTTCAGGCAGTATTTACAGCTTGCATAGCCAGTCCCCATCTCCTCTAGGGAAAAACATCAAGATGTCAGTTAAGTAACGTTTCAAATCTATAGATCAGCAGCTAACAATAGTCTGATCTAATACATACTTCATTTTCAATTCAACTGTGCATACAGAAAAACATTGTACATTTGCACATCATGCAGCAGAGAGACCATTCCACTGTGCCAGTCAATAAAAATGATTCAACAGCTGAAACACATACTTGGATCTCCTCCCAACTACACAACTGCTACTTAGACTCACATTAAACCCACACAATGCAATTAGTTTTACAACAGAAATGTTTACCCCTGTATTATTCACTTCAAGCCCTAAATAAACATTTCCTTTAATTATATTTCTGAAAGAAAAGCAAACAGAAGAGCCCTTACAACTAATCAACAGAACAATAGATATAGAAATTTGATTATACTTTTTCAGACTTACAGAGGAGTGTGAATCATTTGTCTGTCCAGTACTGACCCTTGTTGAAGGCATGATATAAGCAGTTTCAGCAGCTAAAAACAAAAAGTTAAATTTAAAAAGCTTGAGTGACACAGAAAATTGAACACAAAATTGACAGAATATGGAAGTTGACCTCAATAGCCATTTACAAGTATTGGTTGCACAAGTCCTTCTCAGACTTCTTTTGCATGCAGTTCTATTTATAACACAAACAACTAATTTTGGCTTCTGTCCTATTCACAGAACAATTCTGAGAGTCTGGCACTGGAGGCTGCTACAGATAATAAAAACAGAAGGCAGAAAATCCTAAATAAGAACAGAATTATGAAATCCATATAAAATATTTGCAAGCAAATAATCTAAACACCAGATTGAGGCACAAACTGATGGCACTGTATGAATAGTCTAAGTGTGAAATCTTAATTTGATTGCATTGTTTCTGACATCAATACAATTTGAATCTGAGCATGAGCAGTTAATCTGTAACAATCCTAACAAATGGGAACAGAGCATTCATTGAATTTAAAATGGAATATTAAAAAAAAGAAAACAGATTAAGCACACAAGCAACACAAGGGAATATTAGTATTCTATACCTGTGCTTCTGGGTTTTGCTTTTAAAATACAGTACTGTTTGGTAAAAGTTATACTACACACGTAACATCAATATAAGAATACAGTTCTTTAGTTAACAATCAAAACAGTAACAAGCACAGCCTGTTGATATTTGTGAAAAACAAAACTTGAAAAACTACCCATATGTTTATTTTCTGCTTTGCTGCTTATTTTGGATATTTCAAGCAGACTATGAAGAGGTCAGCACATCTGACTAGCGGTGAGCTAGCCATGTTAACTGGACATATTTGTTAAAGGTCAATTGCTTAAAATCAAAATCATCTAAGGTTACTATTTTAGTCTTTTGCTGACTCACAATCGCTGAACGAAAGCAAATGTGCAATGGGCACCAAAACTGGCTACCACTGCTATTTAGAAAATGAACCTTAAATGAAGACTTTAAAGGACCTTTCACTTACAGGAAAAACAGTGATTTACAGATGTATAAAAGGAATATCCTGATTTTAAAAGATGTTTAAATCATAGCAGAGATCATCCAGGCTGCACAAGGTCTTCAATGCCCGAAGCCTATCTACATCCCAGGTACTAGTCAAGATGGGAATCCCACCACACTAAGGGAACTCTGATGGCCTTAGATATATATGGCTCAAAATACAGTATGTGAAACACATTTCAAACCTTCAGATTTTGAATTGAATGTTGTTAGTGAAGTTTCATCTTTAACAACTGCCCCATTTGTACTTGATGATTCAGTTTTAACAGCCTGCTGGGTTACCATAGTTTGTGTGCTGGAGACAGTACTGGATACAGAAGCATCAGGATTTACAGTTTGTTTGTCCAAGTCATGTAATTCACCTACATTTGCTGATGTCTGAGCACCTTAAAAAGAGAAAATATTAACCAGAAATCAATATTGATAACACATAACAAATCTCAACCTGATCTAATGGCTTTACTTTCCTATGAAGCCTGAGTTTAGCTCAGAATTAGGTTAGAATAGATCTGATCATATTGATTACCAGAGCTTTCTTTAGGTATATAACTGAACTAAAGTCTGTCTGCACAGTCATAAACAGATACATGTAAACAGTTGTTTGAAGCTTGCCATTCTATATTTATTTTGTTACAAAAGGATTAATTTGGGAAAAAACCACCAAAATAAAGCATCCACACAAATCAGTATCACAGATTTGTAACAATCAAGATTAACCCCTGTGGAATTTTGTTTCTCACTTAGCACTAAGAACCAAAATTTCCACATGATACTTAAATTACACTGTGAAGAAAATAAAAATCCAACAACCCATAAAATGAAAGTCAAATATAAACAGATCAGGTGACTGAGCCTGGATTCACCACACTGAATTAAGGCACTTCAGTGAAATGCCTACATCAGTGCCTTGTCATCTTCTATTTCCTCTACAGTCAGAGAGAAACATGCTTCTCTCTACATTGCCTGAAATTTTACATTATAGCTTTTCACTGCTAACAGACACAGTGTCAAAGAATCTGGAGTTACTATCACCATGATGTTGTAAAATGTCCTTTTTTTTATGTTAAAAATGGCTACTTATGTTTAGACACATTTGCCATCATAATAATGAATATATTGAGAATTTCACGTCCCTTGCAACACTTCAAATAATTTAGGATTTCATTTTTCCCTGTATCTTCTAAAAATATGTTCGGTAATAACTAACACAAGTTGGGTTTTTTTAAACTACGAAGGAATCTAAAATAATTTTAAATTACAAGACAAATAATCTTATTTTATGTTTATGAGATGAATTTTTACTCTGTCTTTTCAATTAATTTTTATTCTACAGTCATCTTACTTGAAGTACAAACAGGCAAAAGAGAAGGGGCATTTGATTCTTTGAATCCTGCAGCATCTGTGTGGTTTTTCATAGTCTCCTGTGTAATCTTGTTTTCAGGTGCTGCAACCTTTTCTTTTCCTTCTACTTTCAATAATGAGTTGGATGAAAGGGAAACTTGGACCTAAGCAAAACAACACATTTTTTAGTGTTTAACTGCAAAGTTGGGAAATTTCAGTTGCAAACATGGCATGAAAATGCTTACTCATAAGCAACAAGCTAAACTCCTCCAACAATTCCCTAGTACTCTAAATTAAACCAAGAAACCAACCCCTCAATCCCCCTTATCTTAGCCATTATAAAACAAAAACTCAAACTCTGAGTTGACCTGGACATGTCTCTGATAGATACCAAATGTTATCTGACAGTGAGCTCACGTTCTTTTGTCATTACATGGAAGTTCATTGATGCACATATTTAGTCTACTGGGGGGACTTGAGGAGATGGGGAAAATCACAATTACAGAGGCTTTCAACTTTTGCTTTCCTGGCATGTACTTCAGATACTTCTACTGTTAGTGAAAATTATATAGTATATCTCCATGTGTTTTCTCCAGGAATACGTTATGGATCCCATACAGATCTAAGACTTTTCTTATTTAAGAAAAGGTGCAAAATTACAAAAATGTGATCCTTTAGCCAGCCTTTGTCCTCACTCTTTCTGTTGAATTGGCAAAGCAGTGGAATGTGTACAACTGTACAAACAGAACAGATAATAATTGGGTTTAATCTGTAGTAAGAACCTACAACTAAGCAGACTAGCATAAAAGCACTAACAAAGGAGGAATATGCCTTTTTCTTTATGCTTTCCACATTAATTTCACCAACATTTTAAGGATGAATAGTATTTCTACTGGTATAAGGCTCCCAAGTTAGCATTCTGGAAGTCAATACAGTTGCAGTTTCCTTTCTGCCAGGAAGAGGACTTGAAAGACTGTCAATCATAAAAGTAAAAGCTACATAAGAAAACAGACACAACTACTTCAGCAGGTGTCTGTTTGTTTGATTTGGGTTTTTTTTCCTAAGGCCCAAAAAGTATGCAAGGACTTTTAAAACTGAGAAAGTGTTCTGGCAGTCCTCTAGCTTCCCACACTACTTTGCCACTCATGCATTTTTCAGTTTAACACTTACATTATTAGGAATGAGATTATTTGTTTGGCTGGGATGATCAACCTTCAGTTCTGGATAAGGGATGCTAGGCAATGGTTGTGGATTTTGATGTAGAGAACAGCCACCTGGCAGGTAAACAAAAACAAATCCCCATCAGTTATGTAAAATGTAATACTATGTTGGTTGGAATCTATTCCAGTAAGGGAGAGGGAGACCCAAAGTTTCCTGAAGGAAAACTTTGTTGTAAATCTGAAATGAAACTGCATGGTCAAACAGTCAGATAAAATCCCTTTCTCACTGTTTCCTTTCTCAAATCGTGCCCAGCACTGTACAAATATCTTCATAATTCAGACAGCTGACCAAAATCAACAGAAACAAGGTAAAGTGGAGTTTTACATAATCACAATGCAGGCATTTTGGGAATAACCAAAGAAATAGGGTCGGTCTCTCGCAAAAAAATGGTTCTTTAAAAAACAAACTCATATCAAATACTTATGCAATACTCTAGTCTGCCTGTGCACAAACATTAGCATAATGAGACTTGTGAGATCTTCGTTACCTTGTGAACTCAGCAGGGATGTCTCAGGAACACCAGTAACCGGAATTCCAGCCACCGGTGGCACTGGTGAGTCAGCGTGTAACTGAAGAAGATATCCTTCAACTGTAGGAACTTCATCCCATTTCAACTGAAAAGAGTTGGTTGTAGCTCTAATGAGCTGTACCTGTGATGGTGCTAGGGGCTTCTCTACAAGAAACCAATAAAACACAGATGGCATGTTAGAAATGGCCCTCCCTTAATCAGCTTATTAAATATCTATACACTGTGAGTAATATCAGTAGCTCCTTTTCCACTGATGTACAAGGTATACCAGATTCAACAAGAAACCCTTGCCAAAGGTGGCAAGACAAGTCAGAGAATTACACAGTGTCATGTTAGAGTGCTCAAAAATGCTCAAGTTTTCATGCTTTGTTTTCAAGGGCTCTTCTGCTGCCAGTAAGACTTTGAGTTACAGCTACGTCACTGTAGAAATTACAGAGATAAGAGATCTTTGTGCTTTCCCAAAAGGCTGCAGGTAGCTCTTTGGCCCCTAAAGCTTTACATATTCCTCTGTAGAATTCACAGAAGATCCCTCTTCCTTTTTGCATGCTCTCTGTAAATAAAGTGAGCTTTCCTTCAAACTTCTTCTGCAGAGACTGAAGCCTAGACATGACTGATGCCACTGGCCTGCTCCTCTCACCTGCCTTGACTAGGCTGCACTCTCAAGCACATCCCTCTTGTTACTTTTTTTCAATTTCTGATCTTCTGAGGGAAAAATAAAAAAGGAAAAGAAAAACAAAACAAACAAAAAACCCCACCTCACTATCTCCTAAATATTTCACAATCTCCAATAACAACTTCCATACTTCTGCTTCAATAGGCAACAACTCGCTCCCAAAAGTTCCATTCTAGTTCCCTCTTCCCCAGTACCATCTCAGTGTCCTGCCATTAATCCAGCTACTAATGAGTGATTAGTGCTCCAGAATTCCCTTCAATCCCCAGGAACAATTTGGTCCTTTTTCAGATTCAACAGTATCATTTTGCAGTCCAAAAGATGAGGAACCAGCAGCAGCAATGATCCCAAGAGAAGGAAGGGTTTGGTAGGAAGGAGTAAATAGTAGCAGAAAAGATCACTAAAAGGAGAGGTCAGAAACCCTGAGTTCAGGCAAAACACCCTTCAGCACCTTGTATCAACTGACTAAAGGATGCAATGCAGAATCTAGCCACAAAGTTCTTTCAGAGGCTCTAAACAAGCCTTCCTAATTTTTTCAGTTTAAGTTATAGCTGTAGCCTTTGAACAATCAAAAGTGAAGCATGTTTTTAAAACTTAAATAATCTTTGAGATTGCTACAGCTTTAGATGTTCTGATCATCCATGATGCAAGCTTCCCAGATGT